CCCAGAACGCGGCTGTAGCTGTGGCCCTTGGAAAGTCACCTAGCCCCAGCTGTCCTTCGGTGTCCCCAACACTCTGCGTTAGCATTCACAACGCGCTCGCGGACGTGCCAATGAAATGCGTGAAGGACTTGTTGCGTGCGCGGAAAAACGAGTTGCCAAAGAAAGTGCCCATAATCGTCGTCCCAACAAGTTTAAAGTCCAAGAAGTCAGAAAGTGAGTAAAGAAACCTGGCAACACAGCCTGTTCAAACTCAAAGTTTGCTAGTAAGCGAGAGAAGCTTTGCGGCGGATTCGTTTGGGCCTGCGCTATGTGCTTAGCTCCAAATATTTAACTGGGTCAACGGAAGGATCGTATCACAGGCACAGTACACACGAGGGCAATGAAGGCCCGCAATTTAGCTCTTTCGAGGGTACGCCAACTCATGTTCACCGACGCAGTCTCCCTTCCGATCGAGTGGAATGGCCAAACAAGCCTGAACCTTTCTTGGTTTGTCACTACATCTTCCCAAAAGAATCACGGGTGTCTTTTTGACGCTACCCTTTTTGTGTGTGCTTTTGTTCGGGGGAATCAACTCACTTGCCCAAAGGACCTGGAAATAGAAGGTTAACCTTTTGGGACCTCTACTAAAAGTAGACCAAAAAGGGAAAACCAAAAGGTCAAAAGGTCGTCTTTGAACAACTGAGTCAATGGGAAGCCGCACATTTCACGGAGCTCAGGGGCTCAGCTTGTAAGTTCGTGTCCGAAAGAAGCTCAGGGGCTCGGCTTTCGCCGATTTCGCCCCCAGGTTCTTCGTAGATTTGGGGGTCGTTTCGAGGGGTTGGCTGAAAAGGAAAACCAAAAGGACACATTTTGCGGGGGTCCGATTTCGGGAGAAGACACACACACACACAGAAAAACGTGTTGAGGTTTGAAAGGGGATTTGCGAAGTAAAAAAATCCCCCAAACTGCAGACTCCTGTCCACGTTACCATGGAACCCACCAGAGGGTCCCCTTCAAAGGAAAATGGTCGTCAATTGATTGGAGGGCAATTACCAAAAACAAAGAAAGGCCTGGGAAAAATGGATGCAAAGCCAGAACCGGGAAATCGTCTCGCAAAATGCGGCGCTTGAAATCAAACCGGGTCTTGATGCCAAGCATCCGTCGTTTGGCTTTTCTTGACCAAGGTCCATTGACTTCAGGGGCTGCTTCAAGATGGAACCTTCGGGTCCGGGGCTTTCAACTCAAAGCCCAGCATACAAACGAAGACGGCTCCAGGGGCTGGGAAAGCACGGTGCCCAATGCCGAGAGGTACAACCCACGAAACATCGACCACATACACCGAAGCATAAACCATACAAGGAACGCGGAAACATAAACCAGACAAACGAAGAACGTACACCAACACATGGATACTTGCGCATGCACAACCACACACACATAAACGGGCGCACAATGTCACACAAGCACTCAAGGTATACCCACAAGCACATGCGGAAGTGCAACGAACATACAAATTGCAAACATGGAAACACGGCGAGAAGCCAACGCGCACGCACACACACACAAACACGAAACGCACATATAGGCAGATCCAGCAGGTTACCAGCAGGAAAAGGAAAGCAGGCAGGCAAGCAAGCCAAGGTAGACCAGGCAACCTTGATGAGAAAAAAACAAACACGCACTTAATAAGATGTCATATTGGTAATTGGTATGTGTCAAAAACGGTATTCGGACCCAAACACATCGTGGTTGTCCTGTGGTTTCCCTTTAAACTAACCGCAACAAGGGTACCCTCAAGAAAAGACACACACACACACACACACCAAATCGTTGCTGTCGTTCTTACACGTGAAAGCTTGTATCTGCGTTTCCTCACCGAACCAAGGAAGCAACCGAGCATACATTCAACCAGGGCACTCATTATGGCCTTCACTCCCCAGTGGGATGGGCTTGCGCTACCCTAAACCAAGTAGCCAGGTGGATTGACCGGGATCATGCACTTGGGGTCCTACGACCCTGGAGAACAAACTTTAGTATGAGTTTCTTTTTTTTGATGCTACCCTTGTTTGGTGGTTTTGAAGGACAACTCAAAAAGGACAACTATCAGAAGGGGCGGTCCCTTAAACTATTATATATCACCCCCCCATATTCAGAGAACGTGACCCCCCCCGCCCCATGTCACCCCTAATATTGTTTTGGAGACCCCATTTTCATCGATTCCGCTTTCCCTCCCGGCGCCTGCACTCAGCTCCATGGCGGCTGGCTGTCACTCGCTCAGCGTGAGAGTTCGCGGGCGGACGGCGCGGATTTGATTCGCTGGGTCGGACGTCTAGGAGCCCCCCACACGTGTCAGAAGTTCTCAGAGCCTTCCTAGTTCTCAGGGCTCTCAGAAGCCCGCTGGGTAGGGAGTCCCTCATGAACGAGGCGGCTTGGAGGATCTTCGAGATGGACGTGAGGCCCCGAATGCAACCCGTTTCGTGGTTCCGCTTCAGGGGTCCTTGCAGATTCACAGGGGGTACACACATTTGACCACGGGCGTCGTGCTTTTGGGGATCAAAACGAAGGGGTACCATGGGTTCTCAAAATCGGGGACTCCAGAACCCGATCCTCAGCTTCCATTATTGGAGGGGGGGTCACTGCAATGAGTGTCTGCTGACGTGGAGCCCTTTGACGCATCAAACGAACAGAACGGGCCATGAACCAACAAGTTGCGGTCATCGGTCCAAGCCTTGCTATTCCAATGAGTTTTTTGTTGGCTAAAGTTGCCTGTGTCATCTTGTGTCAGGAGGACATGGGAATCATGAGTGAGTCCCCACGTTTTTGCGGTTCAATACGTCGTGAGTCCATAAACGCCCCTCATGGATAGACAAGGCCCGTCAGGTGCCCACAAACCCTTTGATGCTGGAATCGGTCGGGTGGGAGCCCTACGGTTCCTTCGGGTTTTCTAGAAAGCCTTGGGAAACCCCCCCTTGTTTGGGGACTTTGTAATGTGAGTCAGTTGCTCGTACTTGCTCCCTTCAAGTTGCTCGATGGTGAAAATGGTGATCTGCTCATTTGCTGCCTGAAAGCCATCAATCCGGACCAAACGAATCCTCGAGATGCATCCCTCGAAAAGGAAGGAACTCCCCACTCAAAAGGGGTAAAGGGGGGCTACCCTCCCAGCAACAAACATAACTAATTCAGGGGGGGCGGAGTGACAACTGCGTCCTAACCGGTCGGTGCACCAGCCATACTTCCAGGGGCGTTGCACTTTATAAGTGTTTAGTAAGCCTGGTGATAGCCCACCATAATCAGGCTTCCTAACCACTTACTGTTTACACTTCCCGTGTAAGTACGCCCAGCCACCGAACGATCCCGAACTCTGCCTGCATGAAAGTCATGGAAAGCGCCGCCAGTCTGTCGACGGATTCAGAGCGGTGCTGTTGACGGCTGGTAGTATTCATCCCAAGAAAAACTAACAGGTCGCAGCCTGAGGAGCACATTATTTCGATCGAAAACAAGCAACGATTTGGTGACTCCCCCGCCAAATGGACCTGGAACCCAAAATACATCATGTTGAGGGGAATTCTTTCGGAGGATCTCTGTCTTGGGTTCTAGTTTGACTTGCGGGGCAAGCGGAAACCAGCGGCTTGCGCATCTCCCAAGTAGCGAATCACACACAGCATGACGTGACTCGTCCTGCGGGAACATGAATATCTTTCCTTCGTTACTTTCTGTTCCCCTGCTAACAGTTTAACTTTTAGTGGTTGAATGGAAAATCCGTTAGTTGGCAAAAAGTTAAAGTCCTAACAGCCAAGCAAAAATGCACCAAAGCTTCTGAGGTGGAACCACGCAGGTCCCACATCGAGTGTGGAGAATGACAACCGGGTCTCGAATCTCTGCCCCCAAGTCGAACTGAATTTTCTGTACCTCTTCTTGCAACTTCGTCACGCCTTCTAAAGCAGTGGTCAACCATGAATCATGACAAGCCACCAGCCGAACATCAGGAGTCCTCAATATACAATGCTCCTGAAGAGTGTTGCTGTTTGAAGTTGTCACCTCAAAGTGATGTCGTTCACATTTCGCCCAAAGAATCGTGCACATCAGCAAGCAACGTGGATGCGCAAAACTCTGAAGCAGTTGGTAGGCTTAGCCCAGCATTGGAGTTCAAACCAGCATCAAACAATGCTTGGCTTCATATAACCACCATTGTTTATACCTAGGAACTGCCATCATCCAAACTGGGTCAACCATTATTTTAATAGGGGCTGGTTTTCCCAGAATTCATGGTTTCCACGTTCAGTATGATCTTTGTCGCCTGAATGCAGGGTCTTCGCTGAGGGCCAAGACGCACAAAAACCAAAGGAGACAATGCAAGAAGTACCGGTTCAATCTGAGGCGACAAACTCCCCGCCAAAACAAAACCCAACTAACATACGGCCACTATCGGCAGACCCAATAAGGATGGACAAACCCCAAGAACATGGGTTGATTCAAATGGAGGGGAATCCCTAATCCTAATTTGCAATCCGTAGTGGGACACCACTAATCGAAGCAACAACCATCTGGCATACGGATTCTCCAGGTTGACTTCGAACAACCCAAACCACAACACTTGGCAACGAACGGGCAAGAGTCGCAATTTGTTTGTCGCCACGGAGGGTTGGGGTTCCAATCTTGTCCATTACCCCAAGAGGGCGATCGATGAGGTATGTTTATATCCAGATTGCCGAAGGAGGAAGCAGGAGTTTGGTGCCCTTTCCTTACGTGGGCAGCCTGGCTTTTGGGTTCACAACAATTTGTAGTTGTTGCTTGTTTATAGAGTTTGTTCTGATGTTTTTCCTTTTGTGTTTTTCCTTTTCCTTTTTTCTTTTGGGGGGGGGGGTCGCGTATTTCAAGATATGCAACAAAGTTGGCATCGCCACTACGGAAACCATTCCGTCAACCCGGAGTTGCCTCTTGGTCTTTGGCAACGATGGCTGCCTCAAAGGATTCGGCCTGTCGTTGCGGCATCTACGAGGGGCGAGGGGCTCTCGGTACATCTACGAGGTACAGACCAGGGGTCCAGGCCCCACCTCCGCCGCCTCCGCCCCAAAAAAGGAAGGCTTTCTCCCCCAAGGGTTGAGAGGTCTATTTCCCTTTGCCGATACGCCGCCTGGAAAAAAAACAACATCCAGTTTCTTGATAGATTTCCTTTATAAGACCAACAAGAAAAAAGGCTGTTTAAGAGCCTTACGACGCCGTGCCAAAGCGAGCTTAGGCCACGGTTGGGGGTGTCTTTGTGAGTGATGTCTTTGCGGTTCCCTGGCACGTGAGCGGAAGACAAGATGCGGACGACCCAGGCCAAACTTGGACCCAAAAAGTCACAACCTGACATTCACCGAACTATTTGGGTGTGGGTCAAAAATGGTCGTGTAAGCGAAACCCACAAGAACACTTCACACCCCATACCCTCCCTCCTGACTGTAAAACTCGTGGTTTTAGGGGGTCTAAGTTTTCGTCGGTTTTGGGGTCTTAAGGTAGAACCAGTGGTGGACCAGGTCTTCCAAACGGGACCCGGAAGCTGCGCTCGCCAAGCTGGAGCCACCTGTGAGGGCCATAGGAAGTCCGCTTGCGAGTGGCCGGGGGTTCTAGGGAAAAGGGCCCCGCTTTCTCTGCATGAGCCCCAGAGCCCCCAAGCAGCTATACTAGGTCTTCCAGTAGCGAGGTTAGAATAAGTTGGTACCAACTTTTTCTGTAGTCTTTTTTACTAGGGGAACCCCCCCCCGAAAAAAGGCTAAAAGGGCACTACTGGGGGACCCAGTATAGACCTCTCCTTTTTTGACGGGGGCACGGGGCTCACAAACAACGCGTGGTTTGCCTTTTGGGTTTCCCTTTAAAACCACCAACCATGGGGTACCCTGAAAAAAGACCCCCAACTAACAAAGGGGGGTACCAACAGAGGGGTCACCCTCAAAAAACACCCGACTATCATGCCCCTGTGTTTTTTAGGGCTAAAAAAAACGGTGCTTTTTTGGTTAACAACTCCACCCCGTGTCTTCTTGGTTAAAAACGACTCCACCCCGAGCCACAGGTCCCACTGCCCTGAGCTCCGCCTGGCGCCCGAAGAAGTTTCGGCAGGTGGCCACGTCCAAACCTCCCACGGGGTCCCCGTACTTGCAACGCCTCGGCTCAGACGACTCTGAACCAGCGGATAAGATTTTGATCTCAGCCGAAGCTACTTGGGGAACTCAGGGGATAAGCCACCAGGGGAACTTGATCTACCCCCCCCAAACCGCAGCAAGCAGAGAAACTTGATCCGCCCAAACCGAAGCTACCAGGGGAGCCCAGGGGACACAAACTGACCTGGAAGATGCTTGCCACTTCCAAGCCGAAGCGGGGAAATCAGGGTGCATGCCCTGAGATTGATCTACCATATCTACCCTTAAACCGAAGCTACCCCCAGGGGAAATCAGGGCTGTATACCCTTTGCATAGTGGTTATACGGTCTGGTCGATTCATTTTGACCCATAGCGGGGTGGACATCATTTAGGAGTTCACGTCCGCCAACTGCTTGTGACGTTCCCGATTCAATTTCATGCCCAGGGTGTCTCTCTATTTTTGCGAGGGTAACCCTTTTTGTGGTATTTGTTTACTGAGGAACATAAAGGACAGATGAATCGTGTGGGTTCCCATAGTTTGAGACAAACCCATATGGGTCTGTCTTTTTCTTTTTTTACGTTTACAGGGAAACCGAAAGGACCACTGAAGCCATTTGTTTCTTTGTCTTCTTCTCTCTTTTATTTCTTTTTTTGGGGGGGTCCACTGGAAAAACACACCCGTATGTGCCATGGTCAAAATTGCTTGTGTGGCCTATGGTCATGGCTCCCTTACTAGGAATCATTGTACTGGTCATTTAGGATGATTACTACGAGATGGATCGCCATCCCAACGTTAACCCCTGGTAAAGGAACTGGTCTTGTGACCATGGCACATATGATCTTTATCTGAGGACCCTCTAATGGGCATTTCGGGTTGTAACTTTTCCCGATGTGTGGTGGTTGATCGCAAGGTCCTTTACATGGGATGACCCTTGGTTGGAAAACCACTAAAAGGATATGTCCCACATGGGAAAAGTGACCCATGCTCCTTTTGGGGGCCTTGAATCAAACGGAGCTTTGCCTTTTCAACCCCCATGTTTACCGGACCTTTTCGGATCAACCCCCATATGAATCGGTCTGTCTCAAAATAGGGGACCCCCAAAAAGTGGGTCATGTCCCTTTCGTCCTGTTCAAACAACCCCAACCAGTCAGCTCAAGTGGTTTGGATTGGTAGGGACGGGGGAAACCCACTTTCCCTCAAGAACCAGGGCTTCAAGTTCAAATCCAAGCCAATCCAAAGCACCAATTAACTTGATTGGCGTTGGAAGGGGAGCAACACTTCTTTCTTTTTTAGCACTTAAGTGGGGATTTCCCACTAAACCACAATAAGCAAAAAATGAAACCACAAAAAAAACAACAAAAAACGCGCCACACCTCTCCAGCTGAGGTCCCCAGGCTTAGCGGGCTGAAGCTGGCCGTCTCCTCATCTTCAGGACGAAAAAGCCGCCAGATCCGCGGGCCCAAATTCGGCGGCCCGGTGTTTCTGAGCTGCGAAAACGCTAAGGGTAACTTCAGAGAGCTTCCGGATGCAGCCAGCACAGGTCCCCCAGACCTGAAACCCGTGACTTGCCAACATTCTAGGGCTAGCTTCCGTTTCCATGGTGCGTTTGGTTACCCACCTGGGTGTGTCTTTTTCAAGGGGACCCTTTTTTTGGGGGTGGTTTTAAAGGGAAAAGCAAAAGGAGAAACCCTTGCGCCATTTTGGGGTCCAGCCAAAAAACACCCCTTGCCACCCATCTGAATGATGCAAAAGCAACGTACCTTCAGAAGAGCCACTTGCTCAAAACCGATTTGGGTAGATGAAGGTTAGGGACAATCCCAGCCATAGCGGATATCCGCCTTCTTAATTCTTGAAGCATGGTTCTGGGATTACGACCATTTTAATACAAAGGGTTTTGAGCAAGTGACTCAGAAAGAAACCTGGTCCTTCGGGTCGAAAACGGAGAGGTCGCCCCAAACCAGCCAAGAGCGCCACATGCAGGCATGTTGGACAAAAATCGTAATGGGTGGTCAAGAAATGTTTGAAAGAAAACCTGCAGATTGACATGAACCCAGCAAAAAGACCATTCCTTGGTTCCATGACATTGGGTCTGTCTTTTATTAATTTAGGTTGGACCCCCCAAAATGGCGCAAGGGTATTCCTTTTGGTTTCCCTTCAAAACCACCCGAAAAAAACGGAATCCCCGCACAAAAAAAGGGGGGACGCCCATGTCGCAGGAGAAACCCGCCCTGAATTCGGGGGGCTCTGTAGGGCTTCCTCTCCTCCGGTCTCACGCCTAGAAGACCGGAGGCTTGGGCTCAATCGAGTGGATGGCCTCAAACAAAGTACCCGAACGTTTTACTTACCACAAAAATGGTGAAAACCGAAAGTCCAGGAACTCAGGAAGTGAGTGGTTCTAAAGGGCCACCCCCTGCAAGGAATAAGTAAACGTCCCCACGGAATGTCTAGGTCGCTCTGGCACCTAGTACCAAGTTGCTGATCGATCTTTGGATGAGAAGCCCTAGCCAACAAACGCTACGAAAAGAATGCCGAAACAACCGGATTCAAGTGATTCATAAGGGTCCACGTTGGGCCTGTTGTTTTTGAAGGTACCTCGTTTTGTGGCTTTAAAGGGAAAGCAAAAGGGAAACCGAAGCCACTTTGGGGGGGGTGCTCCGCAAAAGAGAGAGACACACCCAGGAACCCAGTTAGTTAAGTCTCGTATGCACGTCTCCTCGGCTTACCGTGTTCACCACGTCTTCAGAGAGCAGGATGCAGCCAGCGCAGGTCCCCCAGACCTCGGGGAAACCCGTGACTTGCCATGGGGTGACCTACTACAAGTGTAGCTGGGATCCACTGGGCGTCTTTGGAATATTACAGGTAGGGTTCTAGGGGAATTCGTTCCTGTTAAATTTGTTTTCAACCATCGGTCTTTTTTAAAAAGAAACCCATCGGTTTTTTGCCCTGAAGTTCTGATGTTTTTTTCTGGAAAGAAGGATCCCTGGAAAGAATGGGGAAGTGTGCCCTAGATATTTACATCAAGGCGCGCACGGTTCCTTTTCTTGAGCCAATGTAGCATGTCAAATGTGACAATAATAATACATTATCATGGATTGCTAGTACTCAACAACAAATCTTGTTGGGGGCGTCCATCCAATTTGGAGATCAATGGAAAGCAACAACCCAAGGACATATTGCTAAAGTCGGATTGTGAGGCCCTGGGCCCAAAAACCCAAATTAAGCCATGATCATAGGACAGCAATAAGCGTAAGCGAAAGGAATCATTTGGCCCTAGGCATTCTAAGGACCCGCATCCTGACCTCGAAAGAAACTCACATGTGCTTCTGTCTGCCTGCAGTATCGTAGGGCATCGCTCGCCGATGCTACCGCATGCACTCGGATTGCAACAAAACCCGTCGCGACACCAATCCGATCTGCGCCTTTCTTTCATCGGCGAGTCGTGTGCTCTCTACGCGCCCTTGCTCAGACAAAGTGTTGGTGTGTGACGTTGGTAGAGTTTTTCCACAGAACTCAAAGAAGATCTTTGGGGGCAACCAGCACACCAGCAACCGGAAAAAATCGGCTTTTCGCAAACACGGAGCTAATGAAAGAGCGGACTTCGCGCGGTTTTCTCCAGCATAAATCGGTTTGAAAACAAAAAAAACGGCTCCCCCCACTCCCCCCACCCCACAGGCCATGGCCGCAATGAGGTCCCCATCAAGGAGGGGCTCACAAGCCCAGGCTTGGGTTCTCATGAAATCGAATGGTGAAGCACCCAAAGGCTTCCAAGGGAAAGGCCAAAAAAGCGGACCCAAGCTCAGTGTCATCTCACGCTACTAGAATCAACATGCCGTGTGGGGATGACTTTAAAAGGGTCTATAGTGGCTTTGAGCTACATAAGACATAAATCCATAGCCAAACAGGATGGTTTCATTGGGTGCCCCCAATCAGTGCAGCCTAAGCCCAGCCCAGTCAGACTAGAAGGGGCCTGAACTTTTGTTTACCACTGACCTGGCCTTTCCGAAAAGCAACGTCAAGTCCATAAACTGAGAAACGGGGCATTTCTGGTGGTCGAGGTAAGTGGAACACCCCGACCTGCAGTGGATTTCCAGGGGCAAGAAGTGTGTTGCTCTCACTTTGAAACACGTGCACATAAAACTGAAAATCTAGGTACAGAAATACAAGCCTCCAGTGCTGGTCTGGGTCTTTGTTTTGAGGGTACACTTTGTGGGGGTAGGTTTAAAGGGAAACCCAAAGGAGACCATATGCATGGGGCTTCCGAATTTCGAGACAAATCTATCTGAAACGGATTGGTGAGTTTTGCGGGAGTGGTTGGTGAAGAATGTCATCTTGTGAAACCGCTTCGCATGTTTGCCCAGTAATTTCGAGAATGGCGATCAGGGAGGTCCAATTGTTTCGATGATATGAAATTGCACGAGCCTCGAAAAAGTAATTGGGACTCAGCCCTGTCCACAATTATTCATCGAGACTTTGGGGCGAGTTCTGTTTGCGCGGCGGAAAGCCGGTACTTGTTCAGGGGACGCATGGCGAGTCACACGTTGGGGAGTGAGTTCCCTTAGACAAACCCATTTGGGGCTTGAGGAACATCTTGTTTGTGGAGTTTCCAACAATTGGCACACGTTAGGACCCGTTTCATTCAGCCAGGCGCTCCTTCATACCCAAAGGGCAGGTTCGGGAGTTCCACATGCAAAGCTTTGCGCTTTTCATGGAGATCAATTGATGGCCATACTATCTTGAAGAGGGGTCCCTATTGGTTCAACAGGGTTCAAGCCCAAATCCAAACCTTCCCCATTTGCCCAAAGGAAAAACGGGGGAACCTTTTGAGGCAGTGAGAAAACCCAAAGCTCAGAGCGGTCGATTTGCTTTGGACTGAGTAAATGATGGGAACAGATTGAAAAGCACCCGAAGGAGCGGAGCGAGCGTCAGGTTTCGGCTTAGGCAAAAGCTGGTCGAGGCTTGCGCTCGCCTGGCAAAGCGCAACTCCCTCCATCGGACCGAAGAACAGGTGAATAGCTCCACCAGAAGAGGTGGGGATGGGGGGGAAAGGGGGGGGAGAAGATCTTAAAAAGGGAAGGGGGGAAAAGATCTCAGCGGAAAGGGGGCAAAAGATCTTGTGTCCAAGGCTCAATCCATTGATTTGCTGCGGAGTGCGGAAGCTTGCTGCCGGACCAATGAAACAGCCAAACCTTCCATGTCAGTTGGGCTTCCTGATCACCCTTTGCGGCCCTTGCTGCAACATGGTTGCCAAAATGGGAACACCAAACGATGGGATGCTTCAGGTCGGTTTCGGACGGGGCAGAGGCTCCAGGTCAGCATTTCGTTCCTTTCGCTCGGATGGGTAACCCAACGCCCTGGCCTCCGCGCACATACTCGCGCAGACGGGTCATGAACCTTAGAACAGAAGCAGATTCCTCCAGGGACAGACGCAGATGGAGGGAACCCATTGGGTCCGATCTTCCAAGAATGGCTCTGAGTGCAACGGCTTGAGTTTTGGGACACTCCTCCAAGAGGTGTTGGGGAGGAGGGGGGGGATTCTATGTCAATTGACAGGAGGGCAAAGCTGCAATCGGCGCAATGAAACATCTTCGCGGCTCAATTCTCTCCATGCTGCAGGTCTGCATGATCTCCCCAGTCAAAGATACCTTGCGCTGCTTTTGCAATGAAAGAGCATGCTCTTGTAAACGCAGGAAAGAACAAGTGTGCAGCGCAATGGAATGGGTCATCTGCTATTGAATAGTGTCCAAGGACGCAAGCGCGCACACACACACATCCACCATCGAAGGTGGGGGGGTTCTTTAAGTTATTAAGGGAAACACAACCTGGTTGGCTCCTTTTTTGTTCAACGGCAAACGGAAGTGTGCTTGCTTTGTGTTCAATGGGATACTGAAGGACACCACTGAATTCTTGCTGGGGGCTTCCATCAAATTTGGAGATCAACCATAGGCTCCCGGGCTCATCCGTGCCCGCGATGATCTTCATGGTGGTGGACTCTCCACCAGGAATCACAAGCCTCAGAGCATTGCAGGCAGAGAGGAGGTCCCCTTAACTTGGCGAGTCAAACAACAACTTGCTACAAGTGAAAGTTTTAGCTGGCTGGTGACTTTGTCGTTTTCCGCCAAACAAGTAGTCGTCGAAACAGTGAAAAGTCGTGCTGCCTAGGACCCTCACACCAAACTTTCGCTCCCCATGGAACCCTCAACCGAGAGAATGGACCTCCCCGGCCCTTTTGTTGGGTGGAAGGGCAAGGGAACCGTCGAGTTCATGGACGCGGAAAATCACCCGCGTTCTGTGGGTTGAAGGGGATTCTGCAAGCAAGTGAACCTAAAATCAATCCTTTTCCATGTGAGAAGGCTAGTGGTCGCCAGGTCTGTTTTTTTGGCAGGGCAACAAAACAGCCACATACTTCTCGGCTTCCCGATGTTCCTGCAAATCTACCGTCCAAAAAGGGGAAGCTCCCGAGGAGATAGTGTGGGCAAGAAAAGCTGCCAGAGGCTCCTAAAGACGAGCTGGAATACCAACATCATACCCTTCCAATTGCGGAAGTGGGCAGGAAGCTTCCCGACAAGGAACCTAGCCTTCCAAAAACCATCCTGTCAGCTTCCCTGATTCTTGGAGGGAGGGTAAATCAGACTCGGGCTATGACGGTTGTGAGACACTCCGTCCAACTCCGGCAGATACTCCGTATGTGGTAGCTGAACCCCGGGGCTTGTGATTGCTTGTGATCCTCAGACATGAGCCTTCAGCCCGAGACTTTTTTTTGCGCCCAGCCGCGCGTCGCACGTGTCCAGCTCTTGGACCTTTCTCACCTGCGCTGTCGCATGCGGGGGACCGCCAGGTTGATTCATCCAATGTGCAAGTGTCAACCCTGCGGTTCAGGGACCAGCATTACAACAACAGTTGGGTTCATATAACCGTCATCGTTTACCGTTCAGGGTTGTCATTATCTAAATTGGCCCAACCATTCTTTAATCGGGGTTGAACCATGGGGTCAATGCCAGCAAAAGCCCAGGTGGCATCTACCATTAAAATGGTCTTCCCAAAAAGTGACTAAAGTCCAGGAACTCAGGGAGTGTGATCAAGAATTTCATTCTGAAATGCTTGCTGATTCTCGGGGAGTTACCAAGTTACCAAGTTGGGAATGAACCTATGCTAGGTCCTCCAGTAGAGAGGTTAGAATAAGGGTACCCTTTTGGCACGTGACGCACGAGTGATGAGCGTGCGCTGGTGGCAGGGCATGCCGCCCTACTACCTGTGAAAAGTGGGGCATAAGCCCCGTACACAGCCCTCCGGGAGCGGCTCGACCGGAGGGGTGAAACACCTGGCAAAGGGCAACGCAGCCAACGGAAAGAGAGGGGACCCCCTTTCCCCTGGCCGGTAAGACAAAACAGGCCCAACAGCCACGCAGCACCGTGGGCCCTGTGAGAGAGGACCAGCCCCCCGCACAGGAACCCAGGCTTTCCCCACAAGGCCGCAAGGCCGAAGCAGCCCACCCCCCAAAAAGGGGGAAGTCACAAAACTGCTGTACAAGCGTAGGGCCCGAAAGTTGGACAAGTAAGCCAAGAAAGTCGGGACCTCCGAGGCCACTGGCACACGCCACAGGGATATGAAAAGCACCATGAGGTAGCAGCCACTCACAGCAGGAGGGATGTATTCACTATGCTGCGGACTTCTGAAAGCTATAAAGACCCAAGGGCACGATGGGCAAGGCAGCCCGCATCACCACTGCCGAAAAAGCCCAAGGTGTCAAAAGGGCACAACCCACACACAGATAGTCCCGCCCAGAGAAGCTGATGCAGAGCGAGAAGAGAACGAGGCATCAAAGGGGCCGAAGGCGCACAACGAAGAGGGCCAGCTATACCTTTTTTTCTGCAGTCTATTTTAGTAGGGGAACCCTCCCCAAAAAGGGCAAAAGCACACTACCGGATCCTGAAAAACACACCCCGCTTGAAAGACCGTACCATCACTGGGGTTCTGCACCGAAACTCGAAAAGTATAAACCCTCAGCCCTAAGCCAGTGTAAACCATCCTATGGGATAAAACCTGAAGGGAAAGGTCGGGGAAGCTCGCTAAAACATGTCATTTTCAACCAACATAAGGCGTCTGCTTTTCGGGAACGTACAAGGCCGTACACAACCCGTACTTTCTGTATGCTTTGCCGGGGGGGAAAAAAAAACAGACATGTGTCATGTCATGAGTAATGCTGACCCCGGATTATCAAACCGGTTCCAATAATTGTGGGGCCCGTTCCCCTCCAACAGCGGACTGAATCCCTCATTAAAAAGCAACACCCAAATCAACACGTGCGTGCTAACTCCAGGGTTCCCGGGCACAAATTGGTAGGTTCCCATTCTTGCCGAGAATTCGCTTGGGAAAACACACGCCTCAGACTAGTAGGTCTCTATTCATCCGTCTTCATTCTTGCCGTGGCAAGACGTTTGTATATGTGCAGAGAAATCTTGGCAAACCATGCGCTGACTCCCAATGGTTCAACCTGCATGTTCGACAATTCCAAAACCTGAAGAAGAAATTGATGGCCAAGTAAGGGACCTGCATCCTAGATTGTTTTACCAAAGTGGAATCGCTCACTACAAAATTGGCATCATGACATTGGTGAGGGAACTGTCCGCTTCTATCACTATGGAAGGGCTTCTCAAAGACTTCGCCACTCAAAGGAAACGTGTCCTAGCGCAGAACTTGCGAACCAGCCCCTATCCCGCAAACCCTCAGATGCCCAGTGGCCATGGGAAAAAAGGGCACCCTTTTTTGTTTGTTGAGCTTACAGGGGAACCCAAAACCCCCAAACAAAGTTGAAAAAAGGAAGCAGCCCACTGGGCAACAGAGAACCTGACAAAGGCAAAAGGCTCGCCTGAACCAGCTGGATTTGATCCAGAAGCTCTGAAGGCAGCATCTTGAACATGGCCTGCGCTCGAGATCCGCGCGGTTGGCGACCTCCTTTACCCCGCTGTCTGGGTTTTTTCCTCATGAAAACGGGCAGTTGCAATGGGACACACCAGGCCTGTTCGAGTTCCCCGAGTTTGTAAGCCAACCCGTTTTTTTAGGCCGCGGTCCAATTATTTTGTGCCAACTCTACTCCAAATACCTGCTGAATGAAGGGGAGTATACTTCAAAGCGACACGTTTTCCATAGTACCTAATAGGGGCTTGTTTCAAGTTTGCAATTCACATGGGCTCCCCTTAATTGCACCATGTGTTCTGGCTGTCACAGTCCCTACCCTTCCACCTGCGCTGACTTTTTTGTCTATAGGATTGCCCACACAAAGCTCATGGACAATTTCAGCTTGCCAGGGATTCCCCAACAAAAACACATCACAACACCCGTCCGGGCCGGGAATCACCAATCCAATTTGAGTTGCATGGTATCCTTTTTTTCATTTTTTTTCACACACACAAAACTGCTACCCCCGAACACCCCCCCCCCCCAACCATAGCCGCGGCCTTGGCTTAATGTGGGGTGTTCAGGGACTCGCTTTGGCCCGAAGCCCGAAGGCGTCACCGGTGACACGGGAAGGCCTTCCCCACGAGCTTGCCACAAGGGGAGGCTTCCCCTGATATAGACTACAGAAGAAAAAAAGAAACAGTACCCTGATTCTAACCTCTCAAATCTAGAGGACCTAGCATCTTGTGAGAAAGCAACAAGAGAGGGCTGTTGGCGGATCCCCTCCCTCAGGCTAACATGGAAGCTAGGCCTAATGGAACCAGCCTTAAGTCGGAGCTTCCAGGTTTGGGGAGCTTCTGTATCACAGCAACATCAGGAATCCTGCATCTAGGTTGGGGGAGTGTATCACAAGCGGAACATCAGGAATCCAAGCCCACCTCAATCACGAAATCCAGGCCTTTGGCTGGTCCAAAAGACCCAACACTGTAACACATTCTGTCAATCAACCCTAAACTTGTAGGGTTCCTAGCCCCGATTCAATGAATGGCCTTGGGACAAAATTTGGATGATGACAATCCTGAACGGTGAAGGTGGCTATATTAACAGCCAGTCTTTAATGGTGGCAACGCAACTGAACCCCAGGGTAAATTGTGGTGCAATATTAACCCAACCATTGTTTTAATATGAACCACTATTATACTAACCCCTTATATCAGGGCTGTGAGAAACGACCACTTCTGTGATACAACAAAAAGCGCTTCCCAAAGACTAACCCCCCCCCCACAAACAGGGGAGATATTCCCGAAGATATCGAACAAGTGGTTGGATAAACCCCGAGTGATCCCACCCTGATTAGGAACCCTTTTCTCATTCGGAGTAGGCTTGATGCAGGTGGGGATTTACTCCCAACTATCGTTTCACATTAACCCCTTCTAGGTCCTCCAGTGGAGAGGTTAGAATAAGGGAACCCTTTTTTTGTAGTCTATTTTAGTAGGGGAACCATATCAACCCAACCAATGCGTTAACGGCCTGCCTCAATTTCAGGCACCGTTTTCTCCGGGCCTCATGCTCTTCGAAGGCGCCCTGGAGCGCCAAAATGCCCAAAGTGCGCCTTGGCAGCAGGCTCACTCAAATGGACTTGGCCAAATCTGGGGTACACAGAACAGAATAACAATAACAATGACAATAATAGTAATAAAAGCGTCATAACAATAAAACAATAATAATAATAATACTAATAATAATAATAATATAATACAACTACCAATAATCCTGAAAGCAGGGAGAACTCAGTGCTCATAGCGCTGAGCTCTCTAAAAACAATAAACATATGTCCTAATTCTGTTTGATGGTTAGCCTCCCTAAAATATAAAATAGTTTTGCCAGTGGACGGTATAAAGGGAAACCAGTGCAATATCTAAGATTGGCTGGTAAACGGGTGTGTGTGTGTGTTCGTTTTGGTGGTAGACATTTCAGGTTGGCTTGACGGGAAACCAACAGGAAGACGTAACATTTGGATACATTTCAGATATGTGTCTATTTGGACACGTACCCCAAACCCCAAACTTAAAGTTGAGTGAATGTTGGCGCTCCCTCCCCATGTGAGTCATAATCAAACCCGGCAATAGAATGGTCTACCCAGAACCATGAGGAGCTACGTCCCCTGAAAAGAGAACCTAATGGGCTTGCGGCTTTTTGATGGTATGCTTTTTAGTTTCTTTCAAAAGTGAAGCCGCAAGGAGAAGCCTTTTGGGGGTTCACCCGATTTTGGTACATAGCCATGATTTTCCATGGTTGGAACAGACTCCAAAGGAAGGGGGTGCCATGACTTCCAATGATTCGGCACTACAGTCAAAACGGGGGGGGGGGGCTACGAATTGAACTCGTGGGGATCAAACTCAAATGGGCGAGTGGACACAAAGTTCCCAAGTAAATGATGTCCTTCAAAGGGTCCCCAATTCGATTCATACCCAAATGGCTGTGGGTCAAAAATAGGTACTCAAAATGGAACCCTGGTAAATGGAAACATGGACTAACATCTGCAGTCCCCTGGTAAAGGCACCCATGTATGGTTGGGGTTATCCCGTACTAGCCTTCATCTACCCGGGCTTTGATTGTGGCTCATTCGATGGTGAAATCATCCTCATTACATGAAGGGACGAGTGCATGGTGCCGTTTAATTTCACCCTGGTGCCCCCAAAAGTTCGCTGGCCACAATCCATATGTGGTTTGCGTTCACGAGCAAATATATCAGTGAACATCCCAATCCCCACTAAAATAGGTTCTAAAATGGGTGGTGCACCTGCCCCAAAATGGTAGCATTGGTTTTGACCCACAGCCATTGGGCCATATCCTGTCACACATATTTCAGCAAAATATATTGCGGGTGTTTCGGGCTGGCCTTAGAGCAACGCTTTGGAAGAAAGCCCAACCTCACATCCAGAACGACCTGGGCACAATGGCAGCTGGCATCTCTCTCATGTGTGGGTTTCTCCACATATATTATTACTCTACCTATGCCACCACCACTGTTTGCAGTTCGGACTAAACCTAATCTGTTGGTTGCTTTCCACTTACAATGAACAGGCTTACAACAAATCAACACATCTACTCAGTACAAATACAAATAAGCACAACCACCACCCAACACCAGTACAAATAACAATTACTACCAACAGACTTGAACAGACGTCAAACAGATGTACACACGCATGCCCAGTACAAACAAACGCCATATGCCGCCCCTCTCCACCTCGCCCCTCGCCTGCGCTCGGTTTTGGGGACAGTCATGGCGTCAAGAAAAGCAATGCCCGGCCCGGCGGGGTTGGGGTCGACCAAAGCCCTGCCACTGTTGAGCCATGGGTCTTCGGCGATTTTGATCGCTTCGTGCGCGGCTTGCGGCATGAGCGAATTCATCCAAGCGCCGAGCCTCGGAAGTGGGTTCATGGCTGAAGGGCTCGAGCAAAACTGAAGCGCGGCCCAGAACGAGTCGCGATGGCACGCAGGGTCAACTCAGTTCCTGGGTGGATTGTGAGTGGATTTGCATAACACGTCTAAACCTTTGGTTTACTGGTCTTCCCCAAAAATGACAGCCCAAGAATTCAGGAAGTGTGACTAGGTCTCCGTGCTTGATTGACGTTGCACTTCTCAAATTACAGGGAAACCAACAGGCACGCCATGGCAAAGTCAAACTACCATTGATCTCACCCCTAGTATTCGTCCCGGATAAATATCTGCACTGTTTGAAACCATTGCTAAATTCACCAACCAAAATCTAAGCAGCCTTCGTCATGGCACCCAGAATCGCTCGTACGGATGGGTGAGCACCTCCTGCAGTTCAAAACAAGGTCAGGTAGTCTGGTGAGGGGCAGCCCCCCCCGAAGTTCCCACAAATATTTATTTTTGTGGTGCCCAAAGAGTTTGGGTTTCTTCGGTTGCCCTTTTGGCACTAGATGCGTTTGGTCTTCCAAACTCCAAAATGGTCCACTTCCATATATTTGCTGAACTTGCCTCGCAAACAAATAAGTGGGGGTGGTCATTCTTTTTGGGGCGTGCCATTTCTCGGGTGGGTTTTAAAAGGAAGCCGAGACGAACACAAGCCTCTCTTTTTTTGGGGGGGGGATAAGCTTGGAGCTGGACAACTTTCCTGGTTCCTTCCCGGTTCCTTCCCACAAAACTCCGCCGGGCATGGCGTGGAGTTCATGTTGGTCTGGGAGGTGGCGCGAATCTTGGAGCCAAAGTCCAAGAGGCCCATGCCTGCCATGCCCAGCCCCGAAATCCGGCGGGTTAGAGTGGATGGCATGGTAGGCGACGGGGGTACAGCCAACGAGGGTTCCGCTTCTGGGGTTCCCTGGGTTCCCCCGAAAAAGCCCAAGGGGTTCTTAGGGTTCCCTGATGCGAAATGAAACCTTCCGAAGGGGGTTAGGGTAGTGTTTTTTTGTTGGGGCTCCCGAGGGTTTTGTAGGGAGCCAGGTACAAGGCTACTTCCTTACATTTCCCTGTAGGGATTTCTAGAGAGCCAGGAGCATTTCCTTCATGTCCGAACGTTGGTGTGAAATGGATTTCGTCCACAGCCCTCCCACCCCTGATCGATCGGCCTGAATTTTACGGCCCCTGGGTAAGGGAAGGTTCAAAGATGGAAGGTTTCCTCTTGACTTCCTTCAAAAACCCCAACAAAGAGGGTCTGGACTCTCAAAAACTTAAAACAAATAGTAATTTCTCTAGAATTCAGAGTGTTGTTTCTTTTCCTAGGGCAGGATTGTTCTTCTGTGTTTTTTCCAAGTGCTGGATTAACGTTTCCCACCTCATCCAACGAGGGTACCCTGCAAAGAAAGACACACCTAAATGGGAACTCCGGAGGAAGAAGAACCCCGGGTTGAATACGAATATATGTCATATGCCCTTGGACTAGTCAGTCATTTTTAAGTGTCAGGCAACTGACTGTACAGGTACATGGATCTGGGCTGCTGCGTGCGTCACTTCTTTCGGGCGTACCCAGTGCTGAGCTTCCGGCACTCGTCGTGTGATCCCACCGGCGCCCTGGCGACAAAGCGCCAGTGCGGTGTGCCGTTTTTGGAGGCGCATGGCACCCCGTTTTGTTGTGGGGGGTCCCCTAAAACGAGACACGAAAACATGCAAACCAAAGAAGGAACCAACTAACGCCCCTTAAGCTCCCAACCCTTCCCACCCTCAGCTTCCCTCTTGGATTGGTTTGGAGGTGTTCCAGGGGTGGAGTCCCATGTACGCTCTAGACCCCGCCCCACTTACGCTCCACAACCAGTCCCCACTACCCTAAAAAATGGGGTCATTACAGGCAAAAGTTCAAATTCCCCAGTTCCCAAAGTTCGACTACGTAGTACCCGATTTGTTCTGTAGTCTGTTTTAGGGGAACCCTCCGCCAAAAAAAAGGTAAAGGGGCACTCTGGACCTGGCCACCAACCTGGGCTACTTGAAGACCCGAACCCGGCGAACTTCGTAAACGACAGGGTCGGGCGGGCTCCGTGAGGTGCGGCACGTACACGCCCAACCTCAAGGAGTGTTCCGTCAGCTGAGAGCAGAGGGAGACCAAAGGGAAACCACCCCCTTTGTGAGGGTGGCAAAGGAAAACCGCAACAACAGCAATTCATGAGGCTGTCTTGAGACAAGCCCATAAACTGTTTGGATAATTTCAAGCAGTGCAAGCCCCGTGCCAGGCCTGCAACACCAGGTGTCCCGAAACGGGAAAATAGATGGGCCCTGGCAGATTATGAAGCAACCAGGTCAACCAGGACACCTATGAAAACAAGTTTCAAAAAAGCCTTTCAACGATGCTGCTCACAAGAGAAGACACACACACACACACCCAACACGCAGGGCAGTTGTTGATTCTTCTTTTTTTCCGAGCCGACTTGTCCCGGGAAGAGCTTCAATTTAAGCGGGCCGCCGCAGGTAACAAACTGGAGCTTCCGCGTACTTCCCATCAGAATGTTTGTTCTTCTTTAGATAAGCTGGACTAGGCTTATAGGCATGCCGGCAGCAAGTGATGTCTCTGTATTTCGCCCTCTGTGCTACAGACAACAGCGCTCTTGATGCCTAACAAGTTGTTGTTCATGCCTATAGTAATTGTTGCTTGATACTTGGAGCAAACCTGCAACGGATGGACCCTGCCCACGTCCGTCTGGAGACTGGTCCCAAGTGCGAATTGACCGTGGCACATCTGCAACATTGCGTCCGCTCAGGTACAGGTACAAAGCAAGGCATTTGAACCAGTCATTCACCCCAGTTCCCTTTAGCTGAAAACAGAGCAACTGAACCTTCCCTTTGCTTATTTGCTCGGTCTGTGCAACAAACCTGGCGATCCCGCCGGTTGTTCGGAATAAGAAACGGCAATTGAAGGCAAGGAAAAGCCCCTTACGCTCACTTCCTAAGCGCACTGGTCGGAAAAGTCCAGACGCATGAGCCTGTTTTCTTTTTTGAGGGTACCCCTGTTTGTGGTTTTGAAGCCATCCAAGGGTCGTCCCAAAAGGTAAAGTCCAGGAGATCCTGTGTGCGTCGGAACTGCCGGCCCAGGGCGTGACAAGGGAAGGTAGAAAGTTCAAGAACGCCCGCATTGAAAACACCTGGAAACCGAAGGTTTCCCTTTTTGGGACCTTGCCTAAGCATGGACCAAAATGGGAAACAAAAGGTCAAAAGGTTTGGTCAACTGAGGCAACTGCACCTACAACCCTCGAGCTTGAAGTTGAGGCTCTGAGGTTCCGTGCTGAGGATGCTGGTGCACATACAGCGCCTTTCGGCCCTTCATCTGAGGATTCAACAAGTCCTCCGCTTCGCGAAGGCGATTCCTGCTAGGTCCTCTAGTTGAGAATAAGGGTACGAACATTTTTTCTGTAGTCTACTTTAGTAGGCGAACCCTCCCCCACAAAAGGGTAAAAGGGCACAGCCTGTGTCCCAAAGGTATGCGGTCAAGGCTCCTTTTTTTGCTTTCCGGGACTTCCTGAGGCACGGCACAGAGGGGCGCCCAAAACACGGTGCGGACCTCTTTCGGGCAGTGTCACCTGCGTAGCCGGATCTGCTGCAGTCACCGACAACAAACAGGCTGGTATAGGGTTTGCTTAGGGTTTGTTTGGGTTGATCTTTGGTGGTTTAGTCCTGATTTACGGTGGGTTTCGGGTTGGTTTAGCTTGGGTTTAGGGCTGGCTTAGGGTTTAGGGCTGGTTTCGGGTTGATTTGGGGATGGATGGGTTAAGGTTGGTTTAGAGTTTGCTTGGGCATGGTTAGGGTGTTTAGGATGAGTTTCGGGTGGGCTTAAGGTTGGTATAGGGATTGCTGCGTGCTGGTTTAGGATGGGTTTAGGATAATCTAGGGATGGTTCAGGGCTTGCTTAGGTTTTGTTTAGGGTTGATATTGAGGTGGCTTAAAGCGGATTGGAACAGGCTTGGTTTACGGGGAGTGTTGGTTTGGTTCAGGGTTTGCTCAGGGTTGGGTGAGGGTTGGTTCGGGTTGGAAAAGGGTGGGTTTGGGGTTGGTTACAGTTGGTTTAGGGTTGGTTTAAGGTTTCTGTAGGGTTTCAATTGCAAAGCTACAACAAGCGCCAAAAGACACAAAAGCAACCAAAAGCTGCGAAAGCCAACAAGCACCCACCCACTGACGACCGACCGCCCGACCGACCGACTGACCGACAAACTGCGGACCCATCCACGACCCAGCCCGCCAAACCTAGGAAGAAAAACTGGGGTCCCCCTCTGAAGGGGCACATAAAGCAGGTCCAACGTTGCAAGGACAATCGCTGCATATCACTGCCATGTGACAGAACTAAGGATAACTCGTTCACCCAGGTAGTGACCATGCCACATTTCGTCTATCAGTTGATATCTCCTTGCAACCTTTCGGTGGTAGAACCTTAGAAAGGCATCCCTTAACCCCGAAGAAATGAGGATACATAAAAACACGCTTTCTCAAAATACCAGCGCGCCCAGTACGAAACTAGAACAGGCGAATTCAAAACCAATACTAGGGAGTTCTCCCCACTGACCTCTCCTCCAGTTGCATTGGGGGAATGTCTGCCCTCAGTCAGCAACCCTAAACAACAAAACGAGACCCTATCTGAGTTGCTCAAATCCTTTACTCACAAATGGCATCTGGACAATGTGTTGGCTGCTCATGACCGGGGACGGACCTTGAAAGAACACGGGAGTTGGCAGCCCAAATTTTGAACAGGGGGCCCCTAGTATTGAACAATATTTCCACAAAGAAGAGGACATGCCGTGACATGTTTTTTGTTTGGGGGGGGGGCACAATGTATTCTCCATTGCAGACGATGTCACTCCAATGGTCACAAAGGTGCGATGTGTGTCTACTTATAGCGAAACAGCCCGTTACAGGTGAACACACATTGCCAAAGCTCCTGTGAGTGATGTTCATGGCTCCCTCAACATGAACCCCGCGTATTTCTTGCATCAAGCTTTTGT